ACGTAACAGGCTGTTTTTGACAATGTATATTCTATTTCAAACACAATTCAACATATAATATCTCACAAAGTGTAATTCTGTAGACCAACACATCATACAAACAGAACATATCAAGAGAAATTAAAGTCCAATGGATGGTCAGGAGATAAAGTCCATTTGGTTCCTAAATTGGCATATTGGCAATAACCACAATATGGTATGCTTATCTTATGATGTTCCACATATCGCTGCTTAGATCAGATGGGGAACTTGAAGGTACGGCACAACAAGGATTCCAGGATAATACCTTGTTTCACCCAACTGGGCTTTGTCAGCCGTACATACTCATATTCTTGTATGACGGAAACAAAACAATTCCGTGTCTCAAGCACGACAGCCAAGCCTCAGCTTTTACCAACACAGAGAGCTCTCAGCTTTGGAGACAGACCCATTCACTGCAGCGTGAGCTTTGTGCAGCTAAAGAAGGAAGCTCTTGCTCAAGAAAGTTTGTGCTGCAATAAACTAGCACTTGTGGCGCCACAGGACACAGAACAAATGCCGTTTTCGGTAATTTATTTTGGGAAGCAACAGAACTAGTGTGTCTGTTGCATTTCAGGGGTGGTACATACCCAGCTATTCCCTTCACCCCATAGCAATGCCTTATCATTTCAAAAACTCAAAAGCGGGAGTTGTAGTAAGGTGTAATGATAGTTAAACATTGTCTCCAATTATTATGGGTTTAGCTAAGACTCCACCCCTTATTTGTTCTTGCAGTTACTTTCATTTTTCTATGCAGCTGTGTGTTAACCCATTCTTCAAAAACAGCCTGTTGTTCTGGGCCTACAAGGGGAGCAGAACTTGGAAAAAGCCTATTTCTTCTATTTTGGGGGGGGCAATGAGTCTGTACAGTTTTCCTGGTAGGCTCCCCTTTCAAATGGATTTTTAAGCATGTCCTCTTTAAAGCATCAGGACACTTGGGACAATACTGGGACAAGATGTGGTAAATGGCTGCAGGGTCATAGCAATAATTGTTCCTTCCCAAATATTTTTTATTTATTTTCAAAGGGGGAAAGTATATAACCATGAACATAAACATTAGCAAAACAATTTTGTTCCCCCCTCTTCCCCTCCCCCCAGAAGAGAAGACTAATGTGTCAGATTCTGGCCATCTGTCATGGATGCTTTAGCTGAGTTTCCTAGATGACCCCCGAGTCCCTTCCAACTCTATTTTATGATTCTATGAAATTTTCCCATAAGTTCATTTGATATTATATAAAGGGGTACCATATTTCAACAAGACTGTCCTTATTGGCTACATCATTCAGGTTGTGCACTCTCTTAGTTACTTTCTCAGATAGAACCATTGTCCAAGTGTTCTGTTTCCATTGTGTGATGGGCAGATAAAGCTGCTGCTCCTTAGAAAGGCAAGACTCTCCAGGTGCGTACCTGTGCCAGGTTGTGGGGCTGTGGAGATCAAAGCCAAAAAAATATCTAACTAGAAGTAACCCTTAGACAACAGAGAGACAAGAAAGGGGTCTGCTTGGAACACTGCAAGAGTTGATAAGATGCTCAGTACATCAATGACAGTTTAAGGCTCAATGAATTTGATCAAGTAATAATAAGGAAAGAAGGAGTAATAACTGATAAGTGGGGGGGGGGGGAGGAGGAAGAGGGAAGAGGAACAGGGGGAGAAAACAGAGATGTGGAAAAATGGAGGAATTGTGGCGAGGAAGGGTTAGGAGAAAGAGCTTATTTCTTCCCCGCTGGCACAGGTTGGTTGTTTCTTGCCACACCAGCTCTCTGTGTTCGCAGAGCAGCTGCTGCATCTCTCTGCAGTTTTGATGGTTCGACTTCCTCTACTTAGCAGGGTCAGTCCAGGCCAGCTCTGCGAGAGATGCTGTGTTCTCCAGAAAGATACAAGGGGCTCACTGTAAAAGCTGGCTTTTACAGAGGAAAAAAACTGTTTTGTTTTTTAATAATAATTTTTTAAAAAATGGCACTCTTTCCTCTGGAGCAGAAGAAGCCTTACCCTGAAAAAAGTAAATAAAAAAATAAATAGATAACAAAATTGAAAGGAATGATGAGTACCAATTGCACTGATTCAAATTTAAAGCTCCAGATTTTGAATATGGTAGACACTGCTCCTCGGGACTGTTAGGACAGAAAGCAGAGAGTCCCAGCAGTAGGTGCAGCCAGAGCCAGTGAAAGGCAGAGAGAATGAATGCTAGTTTTGCCCCCATCCTTCTCCTCCCTGGATCATTTTGGAGAGCCAGTGTGGTGTAGTGGTTAAGAGCGGTAGTCTCGTAATCTGGTGAACCGGGTTCGTGTCTCCGCTCCTCCACATGCAGCTGCTGGGTGACCTTGAGCTAGGCACACTTCTCTGAAGTCTCTCAGCCCCACTTACCTCACAGAGTGTTTGTTGTGGGGGAGGAAGGGAAAGGAGAAGGTTAGCCGCTTTGAGACTCCTTCGGGTAGTGATAAAGCAGGATATTAAATCCAAACTCTTCTTCTTCTTCTTTCAGAAATGTAATTCCCCATCTGCAAAGGTATGGTCAGTTCAAGGCCTCACATTCTGCTTTCTGCATGAGCAGGACCTTCTTCGACTCAGAAGGCCTTCCTAGAGGTACACAGGCACAAACACTTCCTAGGACACAGCAAGCCAGTCAGTGGAACAAAGATGGACAGCTAGGATCTCCAAGCAGTGAGAGAGAAGAGCTCACCCAGGCAATATTTGCAGCCCCTAAAAATTTGGTTGCGATGACTTGTCTGCCCAATAAATTTAACTTAAAAAAACCCAATGGAACAGCTTTTCTTATAAAATGTTTTAAAACTAGTTATCAATGAAATTTCTTTAATTTTTAAAAATATTTATATACCATCACCTCATATAAAATACTAAGGTGGTGTACAGCAATGTATAAGTACGGCACAACACAACACAGCTTACAAACAGTACAAAATAAACATGAAAATGACTGGCAGTGACTAGCCACGAAAGTTTAAACAGCTACATAGGCCTGTTGCTATAAATAGGTCTTTAGGATATGTCTGAAATTAAGCAGTGAGGATCTCTGCTGGAAGTGTGTTGCACAGTGTGGAACTGGTGGCACTAAATGGCTGGTTTCTGGTTGAGGCCAGACTTCTGAAACACAAGAAACACCTTACAGCATCTGTGCATACATCTGAGACTGAGCTGGGACATAAGGGCCCAGGTAGCTCCCAAGACATCTTGGACCCAAGTTGTTCAGGGCTATGTATGTCAACACAAATTCCTTGAACATGGACCAGCAGCATGTGAGCAGCCAGTGCAGATGTCTTAGCAGAGGTGTCACATGATGTCGACCCTCTGCCCCCATCAGCAGTCCAGCCACTGTGTGGGAACATATATGTTTAAAAGGAAAATCTGAAATATTTTGAAGGAAAAAAACGGGGAATCCCCCACAGGGTAAGCTTGCTTGCCGGTCCATTTTTGGCTGATAATGGAATCTGAAGTAACAGTTTCCCCCCTTGCTGCCGCCCCACCCCAAAGTGGGCCTCTGGATGTTTTAACTGCTGTGGCTTTCCCAATCCATTCACCCAACTTTGGGGAGTTGCTTTCTGTTTCCTCGGCAGCAGATGGCAGATTTCCTCTTGGCCAAATCAAGCGCTTAATATGAAAAGGGCACTGGTGCCACCTACAGGCCAGTTTCAAGCACATTATTATAAGCCTGCTTTTAGAGATAGATTTCCAAAGAGATGCCAGGTTTTCAAAAAGAAGCCAGGGTCTCGTTTTCTGAGCTTGCTGTCTTACCTGCACATCTACTCTGGAGGGAAAATCTGGCAACAACTTCTGGCCCTCCAGATGTTCTTAGACTCCAACTTCCATCAGCCCCACATCCTCTGGAGGGCCACAGGTCCCACCCCACCTATTAAAGACTGTCACTCATTTTTGATCCTTTACACGTAGTGAGCCAAAGATTGTTTGTTTCTATATCTCTGGCCTTTGCCAAAATGTGTGAAGACTACAGTTCTCAGCATGCTGATTTAGGGCGGCATCAAACTAAATAATAGTGTGACCAGAATGACTTCGGCTTGTGCAATGGGACTTTCCCCATAGCCTGTCCCTAAAACGGCTCTGAAGGTTTGGGAGAACACACAGAACAGATTTAGCAGGGGAGGCACACGGTGGAAGTCCAGTTGTTCTGCTCATGCATGGATTTACTTGGCTCTACTTTGGACACAGGGACGTGGGTGGCGCTGTGGGTAAAACCTCCGGGTGCAAGTAGATAAATAGGGACCGCTTACCAGCGGGAAGGTAAATAGCGTTCTGTGTGCTGCGCTGGCTCGCCAGATGCAGCTTGTCACGCTGGCCACGTGACCCGGAAGTGTCTGCGGACACCGCTGGCTCCCGGCCTCTTAAGTGAGATGGGCGCACAACCCCAGAGTCTGTCAAGACTGGCCGGTACGGGCAGGGGTACTTTGGACACAACCCTAAGATAACAAGGCCTGGGCACAGACACTTCCCCTAGCTAAACATAGTTCACAATAACAGTGATACCAGTTGTTTAGACACGTGTGATGTTAAGTACTTTTTGATATTTTTGTTTAGTTCCTCGAATCAACCTAACTTTCAGACTTTTTTATTGAGGTGCAATGCAACTTTGTTTGAATATAAATTAACTGAAGTGCATGCTCTATGGCAGAGAGAGAAAAGCTTGCTAGAAATTTTATTACAGGGATCCAGCAATGAAGTTTTGGCAGCAATCTTAAGTAGAGTTACCAAGAAGCAAGCCTTGTTCGACACTGGGAGCCTTACTTCAGAGAAAAGAAGGTCATGATCAGGGTGTGCATTGTGCTCAGTTTAAGCTTTGGAGTTGCCTACTTTCATTTGGCCAATTTCAGCCTGGCTTGCAAATCTTGGATTTTCAGTCTTAAACACACACACACACACACACACAGAGAGAGAGAGAGAGAGAGAGAGAGAGAGAGAGTGAGGGAGAGAGGGGGAGGGGGGGAGAGAGAGACGTAGGCACAGTCCTGGGTGAAGTTTCACATTTTCTTTATTGTTATTTTAAAAAGATTTCTTTCTTTTCCAAATATAGATCTAATTTCAGCATATAATTTAAAACTGACCCCTAGTACATGTTACAGAAATAGGAACTCCTCCAGACAAGACTCTTCCCTTCTTTCCAGAGATTGACTTGGGACACGACAACAAACAGGACGGAATTTTGGACAGAGCAGGATTCACGCACATATACCCCTCCCCACCCCCACCCTGAATCCCTTGGGGAAAGTGGAAGGGTCCTACACAAAGGGGTGGGAAAACCCAAAGTAATAAAACTTCTTACTCCAGAATTCCTTCCTATGATACATCCAGCTGAGTTCCCTTACAAAAGTTTGGAGGAGACAAGGAAACCTGACCTGCCTTGAGCTAGGCAGCACAGCCTGCCTGTAGTTTGGAAACAGGAAGGGCAGACAGTTGTCACCCACTAGGGTGTCCTCATGGAAAAGAACAGGAAAGAGGAGACGCTTGCTCAAAGCTGGTCCTGAAATGATGCACAGTTGCTTTCCATCAACACCATGGCCCCTTGGGCATTTATTTGTTCAACTTCTATGTCCCCACCACCCCACTTGGACCCAATTATCAGGAACCCCAAACAACCAAAACAGCACCTGGGTGCAGCAAGTGGGTGATATAGCTCTCTAGCCTGCAGCCTACATTACAGAAAATAAATAAATATGAAAAGGGTTGTTAACCTGCTCTAAGCCTAAGGGGTAAAAGAGGACCAGGAAGGTAATATTTTAGGTTGCACCTGACAAGCCACATGTTCGCTGTGCCGATTTTACCTTCTCTCCTGCCTTCTGTGTTTCATACTTGGAGCCTGGGTTGTGAGCCACAGGGACCTTTCTCTCACATATCCCTGCTTCTTGGGGCCCAACTACACATTACTTTAGCTACACAGCTGCGTGTTTAAATGCAAATGTATCTGTGTGTTTCTTAATGCAAATTGCCAGCTTTGGGGAAAAGTTCCTGGTCAGGATCCTAGTAATGTGGGTAAGGAAGCCTTCTCACCCACTTACCCCCTCTCCTTGTGGTCCTGATCCATGACAAACCTCCTGTGTTTCAATTAACATTGAGGGGTGGGGAAAGCTCCCATTGGCTTCAGCAGCTTTTAAAATCTGCAAATTACACGTGCAACCCAGATTAGACTCACGGGGGGGGGGGGAGATGGTTAAAGCCTCCTCCCCTCCCTCCATGCTGGGCATTTGTTAAAAAACAAACCAACACCCTTGCATTGAAAGGCATGGCCATGTAGCAGTTTAGCTTTAAGAGGCCAGAGGCTGTGACCTAAAGGCAGTACAACTCTGCGGTGACTGCTCACAGCCTGCACAAGCCCATGAGTTCTCTTGTGATCACTCTCACTCACTGCAAGCCCCTCCAGTGGTTGTATGTTGTGGTCTGTGAGCCATGCGGTTTCTGCAGCGAATGTGTGTTTTGGGTTTGGTTGGGCTCGGTCGCCCATGGTAGCGGTTCGATAAGCACCAGTGGAATGCAGCTGAGTTTTGGATCAAGTCCTTGGTTGATATTAACTTCCTGAAATAAGCCGAAAGGTCTCAAATGACCTCCCACGTGCTAGGGCCAGTGAGATCATTTTTAATAACCCAAGCCAAACTTTTATCGGCAAATGTGTTCTCCTCTCTCCATTTCTCTTCCAGCTGAACACCAGGCTGCAGAAACAGCCCAATTACCCTGAATTTCACAGATGGCAGTAAGTTTTCCCCATAGCTCAGGCAGGTCTTCTTGTATCCAGTCCCTCATTGCTGAGGACATAAAATATATACACTATACAGAGTTACTGAGCGCAACAACAAATACATTAAAAAAGATCTACTCTTATATACAGTATTTATAAAAAGCAAATTGACCAGCCACCATCCCAGTACAAAAATACGTGTCTCTTATTTATGTCCATTATATTTATTAAACCCTAGAAATAATTACTTGTGGACTTTAAAATTATTTTTGTAACACCAGTGCTGCAAAAATATTCATCTTGGTTTTGCTTCCTAGCCCTGTACTCCCCACTCCCCACCCCATCTGAGTGCTGAAATTCATAAGGTGCATTTTATTAGTGAAGGAAAAGAATAATCTTTCCTTATGGCTTTTGGCATGAGGGGATATCGAGCAGAGAAGACAGCAGATATAACAATGGGGAAGGATTGCAAAAAGATTATTGGAGGCTAGCTCATCTTGTGCAAATGAATAGAGGGAACGATTATTTTCACTCCTTTTCAGCCCAGATTCCCAAACCATTTGCTTGAAAGTAAGTCTCATTCATTTAAAGGAAATTTACTTCAATAACAATGGTTTAGGATGGCAGATTACATCAATCGGCTCCCCCACTCCCCCCCAAATAGCACTGCACCAATGCAGAATGTTATGTTGTGTCTGCTATTTTCTAAATGGGGAAGTGGTTCTAGGCAACTGCCATTAAGTTCAATGGAACTTGCCTAGGGATGGGTTCAATGGAGATTGGACAGCATCCAATGGGTATCAGGGTTGTGCAAAAGCAGTTCATTTCTACCACTAGTACCACCAGTCACTCATTAGCAGAGGTGTGACTTCCTTAGCTACATTCCTCAGACTATTTAAATCTGTTCCTTCCTGCACAAGTCATGGAAAAGAATGTGTACTAGGTGCTATGGGGGGGGGGAATCAAGAGTAAAACTACAGCAGCCTTTTAAGGTGCAAATTACTGGAAGCAGCAACAATTGCAAACAACGGCAGGGGGCAGAGTAGCTTCATGGTGTTGTGCCTGCTACTGCCCAGCACCCTGAACGGAACGTCAGATGGTGGCAGTAGCTTACAGACTGCTTCAACATGTATCTCATAAACTGGCCAAACGCTACATTTAAAAAACATTGTTATAAACAGCTGTACCACCCTGCAGTCGTACAAACAGCAGGTATGCTGCATTCACAAAATGGCTGTTTTGCACACCAAATTTCACTGCGTGTGGAAAATGAGAGGCCCTGATGCTTCCCCTTTTCTGCGCAGAACCTACACGGGATGCTGCCGTGCATGGGCAAGAGTGCCATGTGAATGGGCAGAGCAAAGCCGCCCATCTGTGAATGCAGAAGTGAGTACCATAGGGATGGTAAGAGCAGGGATCCAGTGTTTTTCATCTCAGGAACTCCAGGATTGTAGGCATCTCCTTTCCTGCCTGAGATTTTATTTCCAGGAATATATGCTGGTTCATCATATCAGCTCACCTGATGACTCTGCTTCTTATCAGATGTACGACGGATAGGAGGGAGAGTCACCTGGCCAGGATGCTGAATAGCTCCACCTGTACCTATTTAATAGTTATAGCACTTGTGTAATCAAAGTTGTTAGTGAGTATTGAATTCATACCTATTAAGAGAGCACATGCATTCTGAAAATGTACTCATGATGGCTCCTAGAATGCCTTTTCTTGCTCCAATATGGATCAAATGCGAGCCGTTTTGTTGGTACACAATAGCTTCTGAAATACTGAAGGTACCCGCATTTGGTGCTGGCCGCGTAACATAATGAAAAGTTTACAGGGCTATTACCTCCAAGTCCAGAAATACGCTTTTGTTATTCATAAGGGAAAGTGCACTTTGAAGTATCCAAAAGTTTTTGTTGTGGTGTGCCAGTCACAGGGTCCTATGGAAGATGCTTGTTCATTTCACTTACTCAGCACCTGCCCCCTTTTACGAAGAAAATGCTGTTTCGCTTTCCTGCACAACTCAGTGGATCTACTTTTGTCAGATGAATGCTGAAAGGTCTGGGAAAGGTTCCTCAATATTATGGGAGAAAAGCGGGAAATTTTTTTACAAGTGTCATCAGCTTCCCACTGCATAATAACAATTGGAAAAGGTCAATTGGAAATAAATTATGATATAAATGGAAAGAAAATATATTATTCAGTGCTGGTGGGGACACCAAAGTTCCTCAGAAGCTTCTTGGGCTTCCTCTGTGAAAACTACCGCCCTAGTACAACCAAAGGTTCTTGCTATTAAACAACTAGCCCCATAATCCTGTGCTTCTCAAGAAAGAACCAATTACATATTTCAGATTTCATTCCCTAGTGGGAGGGCTGCACACCAGATATTACTTAAATGGGAAGAAATGCTCCATTGAATTCTCCTACCCTTAGAAGACTTCAAGCTATAGGAACATGACAGCAGTTCAGAGATGCTGAATTTTACTATACAGTCTCCCATGGTTTTCTCATTCTGGAATGAGCTCAGCTCCATGAAGTCCTACATGCTACCCTTTGACTTGTGTCACTCATTCTACACACAACCTCCTCTTCAGGTCTCCATTAACTCCTTGCCCCAAATTACACATGAATCTTATATTTCAGGGGTGGGGAACCAATGTTCCTTGTTGGACTCTAGCTCCCATCAGCCCTGGCAGTCAGAATGGCCAACAGTCAGGGATTATGGGAGTTGTACTTCAGCCACTTCTGAAGGGCCCAGTATTCATCACCCCGGTCCAAGTACTCCTTTATTTCCTAAGTCAATCCTTCACAGCAAAGAAGTCCACCGTTCCCTGTGTTCCAGGGGGGGAGACGTGGTTTTCAATTTTTCAACCTGCCACCATAGTTTACAGCACATTTCTAATCATGTCCTATTGAATTCAATGGGGCTTACTCCCAGGTAAGTGAGGGTTAAGATTACAGCCCAAGCCTTCAACAGGGGCTTGATATTAAACAATGACCTACTCATACCTCCAGGCTTTGAAAAGCTTTCTGCTAATTTTCACACTCTGAGCTGCTGCCAAAGCCATATAAATGCAGAGGTGGGTTGAAAAGTCTCCCACCCTACATGAAATGCAGACCTACAAGTGTTACTCACTAGAAGACTGGACCAGGGGGGTCAGATACAGGGATATGCTTTTCCTTCGATGCAATACTCCCAGTTCCGGAGGTTCGCTTTCCAACTTAGACCTGGAGTTGTTATTTCCAACCTGGTCATTTCTCACACGTGACCATCAGCAAAGTCAATAGGACACCCATTGGTGGTAAAGAGCACTGCAGCTGGTGCAGCTTGAAGATCACTGCTTTGACTCCATCAACCCTACATTTCCCCTTACACATGGGTGGCAGCTGAAGGCCCCTGTCTGTGGCTGAATGACTGAGCCTGTGCTTGGCATACAGAAAGAACCAAGTGCAACCCCCCTGGCCAAGTGCAACCCTTCACATCTATAGTTAAAAGGACCAGGTGACAGGAAAGATTTCTGCTGAAGACCCTGGAGGGCAGTCAAGAGTAAAAGAGGGACAGGGAACATGTGACTTTCCTGATGATGTTGGGCTACAGCTCCCACCAAACTTGACCATTGGCCATGCTGGCTGGGGCTGATGGAGTCCAACAACCCCAGGAGAGCCACTGGCTCGCTTCTGGGGAGTAGGCTTCGCTAGGCTAGAAGGACCTGGTGTAAGGCAGCTCCCTATGGGACAAATGACTACCCCGTTGGCAACTACTGGACTCTTTTGAGTTTCCCTTCTCAAGTGGCCTTCTCAGGTGGCCTTCTGCTGCTTTTGATATGTTCTCAGCGGCTTTTTTCCTCCTTTTTCTTCTGAGCTTGCGAGGCCCAGGCTGACTACAGTAAGATGAGGTATGAAAGATTTCAGAGCATTTCAAACAAGTGCATATTTGGGAGGCCACCTCTGATTTAGGAAGAAGCCATGATGAATATTTTCTCCTAGATATATATAAAATATGACAATGACAAGATCAGAGAGTAAAGATGAGGAAGATCCATTTGTTCCTCCTGATCTGCTATTACACAAGGCCTCATATCCTAGTTCAGGGGGAACACTGAATGCCTATCTGATCATACATAAATTACACTGAAGGAAAAGCGGGGACTCAATGGAGGGCAAATCCTTGCCAATTCGGGAAAGCAGCTATATAAATACAATTCCATTGGAATCTCATGCCTGCTACAAATTGGAGGAAAAGCAACATCAGTATGTACAAAACAAAATGAATGCAAATTCTCCTAGCCTACCGAAATTAGCAGCAATCAAGTCCTAGTGACCAGTTAGGCTGGCGGACCAGCTTGGTGGCAGGGCTACACTTCCCAACATGTTCAAGCAACTGCTGGCAGATAGGAAGAGAGGCCACTGTGATGTGTTAGTGGGGAGGGACCAGTCTCTAGGATGGACAGATCCATTTCCATTGCCTCAGGCGGTGGACCCTTTCAGGACACAGGAACCTCAGAGAGGTCTCAATGCCGTACTGTCTTAAAAGACATTGGGTGGGATTCACTTAGGGAGCCCCATCTGCAGAAGTCCTGTGCAAGGACTTCTACTTGCGCAACTGGGATTCGCCCCCCCTGAAACTGACTGGAGGGGAGGTTCGGGAGAAACCCTGAAACGGCACGTGTGGGGAGGAGAGAGGGGATCATTTCACCCCGCAAGCCAAAAGTATTTGAGCAGGCGGAACGTTAATCATCGCACAACATTGAATTCCACCCAATGTGATGACTTCTTGCCGTTACCTAATGGAATGAGGAGACAGAAACAGGGGTTTGATATCGCTGACACAGGCTTGCTTCCCATCCCACCTTGTATGAAGGAGGAAGAGCTCTGTTGCTCACAGCTAACCGTTTGCCCAAAATGCCAACCATCTCTGCTTCACCTCCCTAAGAGAAGCTCAGGCATGCGCTAAGGAAAGCCAGCGTAAACCTGCACCCCAACCGACAGTTCAGAAAGGCCGACATCTCCAAATCGCTTCCCATCCGCCAGCCAGTCAGTTCCAAGACCTGTGGCCACCTTAGCGATGGCAATGAGGTCATACTTGTTTGCATGTGTTTTGTGTGGTACAGGTAGCTGCACAAAGATGGGAGAGAGCAAGGCCTCCATGACCTCTGCCCTGAGCATCCCCTTGCCCTGAGAGAGGAGCGTTGATCATGAGGCTCATCATAAGGCTCACACCCTAGCAGAGGGAACAGGACCAAGTCTGAGGGAAGAACTCCCACTTCCCCCACCAAGGAACAACAAGGGCTCAGGAAGCAACTTCTGAGAGGGACAAAAGCCCTGTGGCTGGTGGGGGCTGAGGCTATTAAGACTTTAAAAACCAAACAGAAACATTCTGCCCCTCTCTCCCTGTCTGAAAGCATTTACTTCCAATTTGTGGCCCCAGTACCGTAATTCTGTAGGAAGGCCTGGCTCCAGTTCCCTTGTCAGTGGTGAACCTCAGGCCAAAGCTCTACTCTCAGGCTCTTTAGCCACAGTCCCCTCCCCCAATTTCCTCCTGTTCCTGCCCTTGACTCTCCAGTTGCCTCAGGCTGGGCTAGACATACTGGACATATAAGGACAGACATCCCACAGCAACCCTCCCACCCCTCTGGATTGGCCTATTTCCCTCATTTGCCTGTTCCTCAGGCGCCGTTGGTCTGGCCCATCCCAGACAGTGAGATTAAAACAAATGCTCAAAAAGTTTAGGAACTGGTTTCCGGCTTGGTCTAGCCAGCAGCAGCCCCCCTGGCTCAATGGGGTCGCGTGTAGGAACTGAGTAACGGAACAGCGCCCCCTTGGCTCAGAGCGGAGCTGTGGACTAAATTACGGCACAGTACTAGCAGAGGTAGGGGAGCAGGAAATGTATCAAAGCTGGCCGAGTTTCCCAAGGCGTTGATCCACAGTTGTGAGGGTCCGGGCCTTGTCTAGTGACTGCCTCCGCTCTTCCCGCCACCCGATGCCCAGTCGATGATGATGAAGCTGAGGCTCATGATCATGAAGAGCACGCCAAGGCATGCAAAGAGGGCTGCCTGTGGGGGGGGGGAGAAAAGGAGGGTCACTCACAGAAAAGGAAAGGGGCTTTTTGGCCCGGGTCTTCAGCCCTGCTCCTCTAAACTCCCCATCACCTAGATCAAGGATAGCCAGCTCGTAACTCACAGGCCAGATTTGGCTCTCAAAGGAATTTTAAGTGGTTCCTGGCAATCCTGCCCATTTTTGGTTCAGTAAAAGCACAGGCAGACTTTCTGGTCATGAAAGAAAGTGTCTCCTGAAGCCGCATGAGAGAATATATATCCAAGAATTCAATGTTTCGCTTCTTACCTGGGTTCTATCTATGAAGCCGCCAAGCATGCCAAGAGCATGCACTTCCACACTATGAAACCCTGGCTGCTACATAGCGCCAGCTTTACTTAAAGAGTGTGTCTTGTGCAGCCAAATTTGTCCCTAGCTTCCAGGCCGCTGTCTGTAGGACAGAGTGATCCTTGCAGTTGGTCGTCCCTCATCTACAACAAGTTATAACCTTCACAACCTTGTACATCGCTCTGATAATGTTTACGATGACAAAAACTTTGCTTTCCAAAGCTAGAGTTATTGATCTCTTCCCAGGTGAGAAAGCCTTATGGTCATATAAAATAGCCATAATTTTTCTCCTGTTAAGAGGTCAGAGGGAACCTGATGGAGGTATATCTACAAGGATGGCCCAACTGATTTTCTGTGCTCCTGACTTTACAACCTATGGACTCGAGGTTACTGCGGTCAGAATTATGATGGTATCTGATTGTCTCTGAACCCCTGACTTGCGTTCTTGATTGATGAAAAGATTACTGGCGTCATGAGCAATTAGCAGTTCCCCAGATGAGAAGCATCCCCACAACTGCCTTCACTGAGAGGACAGTTCAAGAACAGCAGTGCCGGCAGGGCGATTTCCTCATGTGGACAGATAGGAGGGCCCATTGGGCAGGAGGCCCACACCTCACACAACCAGCAGCACACCCCACTCCTTTATAGACACCCCCAAAGGTCTCTAGGCCAAGCTGGGTTCCTAAACAGTACGTACCAGGATCTTGGGAGGGGATTTCGTGGGCTCCTTGTCCTTGGGCATGATCCGGATGTAGAATATTGCTGGGAAGATGAATATCAGGCAGGGGGCCGACGTGGCACCTGGAAGAGACCAGAAGAGAAGAAATTCTAGTGACAATCACACACACACACACACACACACCCCTCCAGAAAGGGAGAACACTAAGCTATCCACCCACCCTTCGCCACTTGTTTTTCCTAGGAGAAAGCAAAACAAGCTGTGCTGATGGGCCCCTGGCCTTGCCCCACATCCCTGGCAGAGGCCAGACAAGCTATTGATTTCCTGCCTTAGGAATGGTGTTTTCTTTCTCTCCTCAAACAGTGGTTGGGGAGCTGGGAATGAAAAAAATTAAGTCCTTTGAAATCACACTGCAAACAAACAGGTTGCTGGCGGTAGCCTTGATCCTTGGAAAAACGGGGCCTTTGGGCAGCAGAATGGGAGACCGGAGATGTGGAGTTGCATCCATGTTCTCAAGGCAGCAGAGAGGAATTATTCTCCCCCAAGTAGTCTCTATCATCATTCTGACTCAAGAGTTTATTTCATCACTGTGAAGACTGGATTGCTCTTCCAGCATCAGAGCTGTATCGGAGGGGTGATTTTTGTGTAAAAACTGCCCTTCTGTGGAGTACTACCCGTAAACCAATACCCTCAACAAATACACAGCATACATTTAAAGCCCATGGCTTCCCCCAAAGAATGCTGGGAAAGTATGTAGCTCTGCGAGGGTAAATTACAATTCCCAGGATTCTCTGGGGGAAGCTGTGTGGGTGTGCTTTAAATGCTGTGTACACAGTCCAAGTCAGAGTGCAACTCCATTTTACAGGGAAGTAAAAATTACGATATTGGAATTGGTTATGAGAAAGTCACTTGACTGCTTTTTCTACATGAAGGATTTTATATTTCCTCATGAGCACTGAAGCTTAGCCACAGTGGAGACAGGAAGAAGAGCTGAAAGAGCTCTCTGCTTTCCTTCAATGTATGAATTGGTCTCTTTCGACCAAAGAACCAGCTCATCTATCCTCCTCTCCATGGCCCAAAGTGTATCATGGGAATACCATGACCCAATAGCAAGGAGGATAATTTAAAGACAGACAAAAGTGGACTCCCATTTGGCTGTACAGTATTATTGTGCAAGGGCAATCCATGCAGTGCTTGTATCCAGCTTTTTAAACTTCCCTAATCTCTCTTTGTTAAAGGCTACCAGAACGCAGGAACCACAAGGAAAGAAAGTGATCTGCTCAGCACACAAGACGCATATCTTCTCTCCAACAGTTTTCCCTAAAGCTTCCAAAATTTATATTATTGTATTATTGCAAGTCATATTTGCACGGTTCACCCAAGGGGAAGGTGCAGGTAGAGTGTGGCAATGGCAAACAAAGGGATTGAGGTTAGGAAAAAGAGAACCCTTGAAAGCAGGACTCACCAATCAGTCCAAAGATGCCCAGGATGGAAGGAGCAAAAATGACAAGCAAGTTGATAGAAGTCAGCAGTATGATAGCAATTATGGTGTGCCGAATCCAGCTGAATTCCTTGTCTTGAAACAGCATCTGCTGAATTGCCCGGCGTACCTGGAGAGTGGAGGAAGGTATGGTCAGACCCCATTCTTAAGGAATAATTCACAATTCTTAACTGGAAAAGAACTTAGGCCTACATTGACACCATATTCCCCATTTGTCCCCTTGCTCCACTGGATATAAACGTGATTTCTTCTGATTTTGGACTCCGATGCCTATTTGTGACCTGCATTTTGGTGGGCTCTGGTTGCTTCTGTCCATATCCCAGCCAATTCAATCCACTACCCAACCAACCACCAACAGCCTTGACTTAACTGGAAGCTAGCAGTAGTGGCCGATTTGATGGGGTTATGCCACCCTTCCACCATTGGTGTTGCTGCAGCTTACCTAGCTTGTGTTAGGGCAGGGCAGCCGTCAGCGCTGTGTGGATGCACCAGCAGAACCACCAGATAGGCTCCATCAGTTCATCCACACAGCCCTGACCTCACTGCTGCAGTGCCACAACCCCTCCAGGAAAGCTGCAGCAACACTGATGTTCGGTGGTGGTGGTGGGGTGCTCCACAGTAAAAATACTTTTATCCCAGCATTGTGGTTGCTGTTGGGAACTTGTTCTGCAGATCCCTCCCTTTTGAGTTTAGCTTGTTGTGTTAAGCAGCATCCAGGTAGGCGGAGCTGATCTTTTCAGATCTTTACTTTTGTGGTTAAATTTGGACCAAGTCACAGGGCCCTGCTTCATGCAAAGGGCTAAATGTGCAGAATGGTGCCCAGGTTCTCTGGATCCCTAGCAACAAACATGTCACTGTGGTAAGATATAAACTGATACTTGGGTTCCACCTACAGCAATCGTGAGACACCACAGCAATCATTAATGCTCTTTTCCCTCTCCCTTGGTTTTCTACAGATGCTTAGATATTGCTTACTGCCCTTTCTAACTCTGCAATGTGGGCTTTCAGCCACATTGTACATTTCTGTAGTAAACTATTTGTACTCTGGTTCAGTTACCAATTATAGACAAGGATGGGCAGGCAGTCTAAAAAGGGGACAGTAGACAATTAGACTGGTTTCTGGTATGTGGTGTAGGAAACCACAGGCACACACAATTTGATGAAAAGGAGACTCACCGGGAAGAGAACAATGGGTACCGTCAGTGTCACAGCAGTCAGCACAGCCACCCGCACACACAGGATCAGCACATCAAACGGATCTACTCTGCTGTAGGTATGTAGCAGCTCTGATTCTACCTGGCCTGCAGGGGACAACCAAGAACAGCACGTCCATTATTGATCTGGCTGTGTACCTAAGCAAGGTGTCTCTTTGCATCCCAGGTTTGGGGCGCGACAGAACTGTTTCTTAGAAGGAAAGGCTATGTAGGTGTTTCTGCCCTAAATCTATGCATGTGAACAATGGAAGTGAATCCCACAGAATACTATGTATTAAATTGATACCACTGCCCTTCCTCCCAAAGGACCCCAGGAGTTCCTACTTGCTTCCAAGCAAACATGCATAGGATTGTGTTGCACAACATTAAAATAACAAGACAAAGCAATTTAGTTTGTTTGCAATGGAAGGACTCAAAGTAAATAATAATAATAATAATAATAATAATAATAATAATAATAATAATAATAATAATAATAGTTACTATTATTATCTAAAAGTCCTTTAGCAAAACGCATGGGATGGGGCTAAACTAGCTATTATGGCTGACTACTGGGAAATGCTTTGTAAAATGTGGAAAGAGCTCTGGCACTTGTGATTCTGATCAACGATTTGGGCACCAGAAGAATATGCAGGGTCTGTACTAGTGAAGTGTTAGCCCCCCCCCCAACAAGAAAATTCTACATTCTGGTCCCAGGGAGGTGTGTGTATATACCTCTCCTCCACCACTTGGGTACCCCGAGGAAGGGACTTACCATAGAAAGTGAGGTAGCCAAAAAGGGCGGCCAGGAAGTACATGATGTACATGACAGCGATGGAGATGTTGGAGATGCACTGCATCTTCTTCTTGGTTGGGCTAGAAGACAGGCAGAAACACAGCATGAGAAGAACCAAATTCCTAACTGTTTAAAGGCACAGGCCCTCACTAACTGACGCTTCCTTCCTAATCCCAGCTGCTTCTCTACACACCTTCTTGAAGACAAAGAGGCACCCAGCTAGAATAAAAGGCCCAAGATCTGAGATGGCTCCAGTTCATCCTGCCAAAGCAAACTATACAAGGCCACAGCTTATCTGATGACATGCCTAGCATCTCCCAAACAGGCACTAGTTCTCTTGAGCGCTTGGAACTGATGTTCAGGCAAACCCAAGAAAGGGGAGCCTGATCAACGGAGTTCTATAAAGGACACACTTGCTCCTTTACTGAATGGAATCAAACAGGCCATTTGCTCGATGGAGCTGCGGTATAACGGAGAATCACCGAGAATTTTCCTTGATGTGCAGTGCATGCAGACAATCTGCACAAAATGTACATGCTGCAACTATGGTTCCAACACTCACTCTTTCAGCTCCGTGTAGATAGGCAGGACCTCAGGGTGACACACAAAAGCGAATGCCATGATGGGGATAGTATAGGCTGTCTGCAAGGAAGAGAGAAGGAGAAGAAGAGGGTGTCAGCTGACCACTGAGCATGCTCCCATTTCCAAGACCTTTGTTGTCATAGCCCCGTAGCAACTTCCAGTAAGGGGTACAACTACACATTACACTTTTCACATGGGAAAGGGACTGTTCAACCCTTCCCTCCTCAGCCAGGCTCCTGATCTTCCCTATGGGGGGGGGGGGAATCTCTCATTGGCACAAACTAAACTTTTCTCACATCTTGCTCTTCTGATGCAGGTTCATCAGTTCTTAGTCTCCTCTGCAATCCTGCCCTCCATGACCCACTTTTAGTCCTTTGGCCATGTTGCTCCTTGCACTTCAAACCACTTCACTGCTTCTGACCGTCAGGCTGCCTCCTTCCCTCTCCCTCCTTCAAACACCCGGCTCAAAACCTGATTGTTTAGCCAAGTCTTTCCACTGAACCACCGTGTCTTCCCTTTATCTGCCCTGCAGGTAACCCTAACCCATTCTCACTATAGCTCTATCTGTCCCCTCTACCTCTATCACATGGTCTGCCAGTGGTTCAGGATGCAAGACTGTCTCTGCACAGTGCCCAGCCTCAGTGTTGATCCTATAACCAGAGAACCAGATTCAGGCAGACGGGTTTTCCCAGATTTGATATGATATGTTACTTAGGTTAATGAATATTTATGTATTGTTTGCTAGTCTGACCTGAGAGTTGAGGGTGAACAAGCTCGAAGAGCAGATGCCGTCTTCCACTGCTTGTTCGTCCTGATTGTTGTTCATGCTGACTGGTGTGTAATTGAGGCTGACGGTGGTGTTGACCCGGTCAGGAAGAGGACAGGGAATGTTGAACTTCTTGTATATGACCTGAGATGGGATCAAGAAACCCTGTTAGGAATGATTGTCTGGGCTTATTTTGCCTTAGATCAGTCTCAACAATAGACAATAAACGTGTTTGTGGGTGTTTGTATGAGTCAGTGTGGTGTAATGGTTAGAGAGTTGGACTATGACCTGGGAGAGAAAGGTTCGAATCCCCACTCAGCCATGAAGCTGGGTGACCTTGGACCAGTCACCATCTCTTAGCCTAACCTACCTCACAGGGTTGTTGTGAGGGTGAAATGGGGAGAAGAACCATGGACACCACCGTGAACTCCTTGGAGAAAAAGGCAGTATATAAACATGTGCAGTTTTGTGTTTGGGCTGCAGCTTTCCCACTCTTACCTACTGAATTAGAACAAATGGAAATCCATGGTAAAGCTGATTGGTTTGGTCCCATTCAGCGGTAACCTGCAGGCAGGCAAATGGAGGTATGGACAAGTCCTTAGAAAGAGTGCCAACCAAACCACTTTAGACAGGGAGTTCTACTACCAAGGGGCCACATGAGAAAAGGCCATGTGCTGGTGCAACCACTGACAGAAAAAAATGATGGTGTGGAGATGGGAATGGAGAGGGCTCCCATTAAAGGCATTCTAAAAACATTTGGGCCACCACCATGCTAGCTAGCTATGTAGAACAGCTGTTCGTGCCTAATGTTTGGTTGCAACCCATTAGAACAGCGAGTGCAAGCAGGACAAAGTAGCCCAAGTGAGAATCACGCTGCAGCTATATTCTGCAAGATATCACAGCTACGCATATTTAGAGAACTGGGGTGTTAGAAAAAGCAAGATTCCTTTAGGGTAGTTGTCCTGATGAGAAGCCAGGGTGAAGGATGTGACTTAATTTGCTATGAGTACTTCCTGCGACTGTTTTTTCAAGCACCAGTATTTTGTGTGATTAAATGACTTCTTCAAGTTTAAGACTCAGGTTTCTTGGGAGGCTGATGGCAGATTAAAAGGGTGTAAAAGACAACAGGGAAACAAAACCCCACTGACTGTGCCTGCATCTCCTTCCCAGTGAACTGTGGGACTGAGTGAGCAGGGACAGCCCCATTCACTGAGATCTCGGCTTTCTCCCTTCACCCTGCGCATCGGCACGAGGCTTCTTCTTTGTCCAGAAATAGATCAGTGTTGCTGACAAGGAAGCAAGAATGCTGTGACGCTTCTCTCTCGCTGGCTGTTGCTGAAATGGCCAGGGGCACGTTGCTCACTATCCACTCTGACAGTTCAACAGCACTTGCAAAACTGGAGTCATCACCCAAGCTTTGCAGCAGGAACCGATACAGAATTCTGTTCTTTGGTCAGCCTACTGGTATGGACGCAGCCCAGAAGTGGGGGCATTTCAACAGCAGGTTAAGGCTCTGGCAGGACCAGGTTCAGTTAAGATTGCTGGCTACTCGCAAGAAAACGATGGTTTCACAACAAGTGCCAGGCTCTGAAGCTCTGTTCCCATGGAACCTAAGTGCAAAATCCTGCCAGTGGGGATCTTATTTTTATTTGTTTTCTTGGCCTTTCTCCAAGGAGCTCAGGAAAGCAGACACACTTCCCTTTTCCCCTATCCTGCTTTCACCCTCACAACAACCCTGTGAGGTGGGATGGGATGAGAGTTGGTGGTGACAGGACGAAGGCCACTCAGTGAGCTTCATGTCTGAGCAGGGATTTGAATCTTGGTCCTAGTACGATTACTACACCAAACTCTCTTCTTCTGAAATGAACATCTCACAAAAAGTATGCTTCTTCTTGTTGTTGTTGTTGTTCCACTTCCCTTCGAAGACTCTTAATTGGATCTCCAAGCAACTAATGCCAATGAGGGAGCTGACAGTAGCGAACACAAAGGGGTCTATAATTGGCTGCAGATCTGACATGGTGTGTAATAGGTGGAGTGCTGCATTACAATTGGAGGGTCTTGAGTTCAAATTTCCACCCAGCCATGAAGCCCACTGGGTGACCTTCACAAACTCTCAGCCAAATCCGTATCACAGCATTGTTGTGAGGATAAAAGTGGTATGAGGATGGAGGGGTGGGGGTGGGCTAGATATGTTGCACTAAACTGCTAGGAGGTAGCAGGGCAATATAAACATGCCATCAGTTAATAACAAGACCACCATTTCATACTTATTTGGAAGTAAGCCCTGTTGAACTCAATGAGGCTTATGTCTAATTAGATGTGCCCAGGGTTGTCCTATCAAGAAATAAAATTACTGAGAGGACTTGAGAGTAATACAAGCAGCTGCTCCCTATTCAACAACTCACCGAAATAAGGAAGAACACCATGCAGCTGAGGGAGAAACCACTGGCATAACCAAGATAACCTGGGAAGAGAGAAAACAGAAAGTTGCAGGGGTCTTGAAATACTTCTGGAATGGATCATTCTCCACTTCCTCAGGTGTTACAGACCCCAACTCTGTTCAGGGTACAGAAACTGCCATGAGAAATGGTGGGTTTCTGGGTTCATGAATCACCCTCTGTCACTCTCTCAAGTCTGGATGGGGAACCTGTGGAGTAACGGGTGATTCTGGGTACTTTCTGGCAGGACTAGACAGAACCAAGGCCTCCTTCCCCACCCACCCTGTCGCATGGGAGCCATTTCCCTGTGGTGTGATCTCAGGCTGCTAAGGAATATGTGCATATACATGAAAATTGTGTGGCTCTCTCCCATGTAATTGACATACCCTTTTGCACAACAAACCCACTGAAGCAGCTGCTGGTAACCCTCCATAAACGGCAGGTAAGACAAATTCCCAAGATTATGCTCATCATTCCCATCCGCTGCTCAGGGAGACTTACCCAGTTGTTTCATGAGGGCCAGGGGAAGGATGATACTGACAGAGACCATGATGACTAGATAGTTCCCATTCATGTACCAGTCCCTGGAATGACAAAGGTCAACATTATATCCTCTGCAGGCCTTTGGATGAGAAAACACTAAATAGTACATATATATCATCAGGTGACGCAAGGCCTGGAGCTTCTACCCAGGCCCTGACCAGGGGCTTAGCTTCACCAAGGTGACAGCATCCTGTGCCCTCAGACCCCGCTGAGCTTTCCACACAGCAAGTTTTGTTCACACTGTAAGCATAAATTTGTGTGGGGCAATGTCAGGAGAAACTCTGCAGTATCTGACACTGACTACAGTGTTAGATGCAGGAGAATTTCTTCTGACATCACCTCATAAACTTGAACTTTGGTGCAGTTTTGCAGGTTATAAAACTTGACCCGCTTGAATTAACATTCTAAAATAGAATTTCAGCTCTACTTAGAAGTGGATATTGGACAACTAAGCACCAAAATCTCAGATGGGATCGGCCTCGGCCTGGTATACCTGAAGGAGCGTCGCCACCCCCACTGAGGTCCAGCTCTGAGGGCCTTCTGGTGGTTCCCTCACTGTGAGAAGCAAGGTTACAGGGAACCAGGCAGAGGGCCTTCTCGGTAGTGGCACCAGCCCTGTGGAACACCCTCCAATCAGATGTCAAGGAAATTAACAACTACAGAGGTACCTCGGGTTGCATACGCTTCAGGTTACAGATGCTTCAGGTTACAGACTCCGCTAACCCAGAAACAGTACCTCAGGTACTTTGCTTCAAGATGAGAACAGAAATCGTGCTCCGGCGGCGTGGCGGCAGCAGGAGGCCCCATTAGCTAAAGTGGTCTTCAGGTTAAGAACAGTTTCAAGTTAAGTACGGACCTCCGGAACGAATTAAGTACTTAACCCAAGGTACCACAGTATCTTACTTTTAAAAGACATCTGGAGGCAGCCCTGTTTAGGGAAGTTTTTAATGGTTGATGTTTTATTGTGTTTTGAATATTCTGTTGGAAGCCGCCCAGAGTGGCTGGCTATAAATCATCATCATCATCTTACTCCCCAAACCTGAAAATGGACTCAGAACTGAAAATTCCTTGGATGAGGGACTACCTGAGAACCCCTAATATGTTGGTCTGAGCTCCCTGGCGGAAAGGCGATTTAATATTTTATTTTCTCATTTATTCAAATCTGTATACTGCTTATCAAAAAAAGTACCAAAACAGTAGAAAATATAAAACTACGTTGGCATACTAAGTTCACAATCAATGGGACATGGAATTGGGTGCTCTAAGGGGGGAAATACAGTGTAAATGTAAGCAAAATACTGCAGTGTTGTCCTAGCCTTCCAGCCACAGCAGTGTTGTTTGGTCAAGCCAAACCTAACAGAGCCTGCAGGGCAGGCAGCAATGACCCTGTACGTTGGACATTGAGGTTCACGTGAAAGCCGGCGTCAAGCTTTGATCTGCCTTGTATCTCAGCACAGCCTAGGCAACAAAAACCTCCCTGTCTCATGAATGAATAATGCTGCTCTTTGCAGGGGACAGCTGTGGCTGTGCTGTGCGCATGAGGCTAAGCCATGTAGCTTGCCCCACTGACTTCCACTCATCCTGCTGAATCTGTCCCTTTCCCTGTGAAAGACAGAGCCCTATAGCTGTTTGCCCTGTCAGAGTGTATAAAGTCAGATGAGCTTAAAGTGAAGCAAGATGCTGGCTTTGCTTTTGGTTCCAAGGCAGGCTGGTTTGGGTCTCTGATCTCTCCTGCCTCTCCCCACCCACTGCTGACCTTCTCCTCCCCACTACCCCATGGCATTTCAAGATCTCACGAATCTTTCTGTGAGGCGGAGGAGGTTTTCAGCAGGCAACTCGTAATTCTGCCCCTGTTGGTTGTTTTATTCTATGTGGGGAGGTTAAGGGGGGAAAGGGCTGGAGTACAGAAATTCACAAAGGCAAAAGGAGAGTGTCTTTAAAGGAAAGGGGGGAGTGGGGAGTGAGAGAGAAGCAAGCAAAAGAGAAGTGGTAGTGGTGGTAGGGTGAACTACTAAAAATGGCATGGGGTAAAGAAATTCTGCTTCCTGTCAGGCACTATGAGTCTCAAAGCACAGGGCCCCCAGGTCACACAATTATTTGCCCCAATGTACGGTCCAAGGGCAGAACTGCAGCACATTCAGTCTTGTCCAATGTATCCAATATGGTGCAGCAGTGACAGCAGCAAGGGGCTTTTCCTAATAGTAAGTCAGCAGATAAAGCAGGGCCTAGTACAGGGGGTGGGGGAAGCTTTTTCTGCCACATTCTCCCAAGGGCAACCTCCCGGGGCTGAACAGGCGTGGCCAGAGGGGAAACTAGGCAGAGCAAGAGATGACCATTAGATCATCAAGGCACCTGTGTTACTATTCTGACTGACTGGGTTAGCCTCTTCCTAGCCTGCTGCTACAGTAGCCATGGCCAGTTCGGCATAAACCTCCCTGAGAACTAAGTGGAATGCGTATCACACCAAGGGAAGGAAGGATGCTGTTGGCTCAGGACTTGACATGTCTCAGGTGAGCACCAAAGACACCTGGGAGTGAGAGACTCCCTGATGGCTGATGGCGAACCAGCACATTTCTTTATTAAATTTATATCCCTGACCCTTTCTTCCATCAAAGAAATCAAGGTAGTATCCATTGGATTCCCAGGTAATCTCCCATCATTCAGGCACTGACCAGACCCAGCCCTCCTGAGTTTCAACAAAATGGCCCCTGTGCATACCACCAGATCACACCCTAGGACTCTCTAGGGTGTACCAACTCACTGCATTAACCCCTCAGCAACCAGAGAAGGTTGGTGCCTTGCACACAGGCTAAATGTGACGCATGGCAAAAGGGTTTCTGGAGCCCACTGTGAGCAGAATCACGATTCGGGCTGCTGCATCCAGGGTAGGGCAGGAGGAAGTGATGCATCGTGCAAGGATTGGAAGTTCACTCTGGTCTAATCCCATGCCGAGGGTTTATTCAGCGCTGGCGTCAATCAAAAATAGTAGTGGCTTAATGCCGTGAAATCCCTGGGACAGGCTGCTCAGCAGGAGGCAAATCCCTCTGCTATGAGAGCGAGAGATGTTAGCTAGAGCTGAGCCACAAGCAGGGAGGGAGGAGAATGAATAAAGGTAGGGGGAAGATGGCTACGAGAGAGGAAAAGATGCGTAAGAGTATGTAGAAAGTAGCCTTGGTAAGGGGCAGCCTGGGCATTCCTATCAGGCTCTGCACTAGCCTACAGTTCCCCTGAGGGTCCAGCACTGGGCTGATAACCCAAAGGAAACCTGTTTGCCTTGCTGGTTTGCCTCTTGGCCAGCCTCTCCAGCAGGCCTGTCTGTGGCCACAACCACAATGTGTCCCCAAACCAACTTGCCACACAGCAAAGCCTAAGGCAGGCCAGTTGAGCAGCCACCACAGCCTCATTCCTCAGCAGCCTCTGCACTGCCACTGCCTGCCCCCCCCCTGCACAATCTCATGCCTATAGTCCAATCCACAGTTTCCCAAACCTGGGCTTCCAGCTGTTTTTGGACTATATCTCCCATCATCCCTGACCACTGGTCCTGCTAGCTAGAGATGATGGGAGTTGTAGCCCCAAAACAGCTGGAAACCCAAGTTTCAGAAACCCAATTCTATTCTGTTAGGCGATGGGTATACTTGACCCCTCATACCAAGTCAAACGATGGGGGCACCCAGCTCAGTGCTGTCTACACAGACTGGCAGCAGCTTTTCAGGGCTTCAGGCAAGGGACAGTCCTAGCCTTACCTGGAGATGCCATGGACTGGTCCTGGGACCTTTGGCACGTAATGAATGTGCCCTTCCCTTTGAGTTATAGCCCTTCTCCTGCAGCAAGGCTGATAGCAGTATATGCACCACAGAACTGGACTTGGCTACTCAGCTCCTTGCCACATACAGATGTGGTGGAAATGTGAGTGTTTGCTACTTAATGTCATGTGAAGCAGCAAGAGCCATAGGGGAAGCCCACAAAAGAACCAGGAGCAGATCAGCCACCTGGATCAGGGTTTAGTAAAAATGGGGGACAGGGTTTGCCAGTTGTTCCCCACTGACAGTCTGCATCAGTCAGGCTCTTCCATTGGACATTGGGAAGAAGGGCAGAGAGTGAACAAGGCAGATAGAGCAACACCTCTCGTCCTCATCTTTTAGGTGCCACTGACACCCCATAACTGTTCACCTTCTGCTGAGCACAGCCATGTGATGCTATGGCCCATGGTGGTTGCAGAAATTGTCTGGGTAGGTAAGTAGGAGAGACAAAGGCAGGAACCAAAGGGGGAGGACACTTACGTTGTTTTCTCCTCCAGGTTGAGGAAGGTCTGGATGACTAGAGGCACTTCAGACTTCACAATGTACAGGTAGCTGGACATGGCTAGGGAAGGAGACAGAAGTTAACAGGGTGCAAAAGAGTCCCATTCAGATGAAGGGGAGTAAAGATGCTTGGGAAAACCGTTGTGACCCACTTTGCTGTCAGAAAGCCTTCCTGGGATGGGAACTGGTGTGTGTCTCTGTGCCATCTCCATAGCTGCTTCCTTTCCATGGCTTCCTTACCTCCAATATTCTGAAGTGTGATGGCAACGGCAGCTGCCAATTTCCCTGGAGTTCCAAAAGCCCTGTAGCCCAGCTGTTCATAGGCTCGGATTCCTAGACAACACCAAAAATTAATAGACAAGAGAGAAAGAGAGAGACAAAATGACTCACATCTGCACAAGACACACAACTATTGGACAAACTGAGACTTCAGGCCAATGTAACAGGGATTACACTGATCACCTAAGAGTCATTTTTAAAAGTCAAGTACTCAAACTGTCTGCATAAACATATTATTATTATTATTAGCCCCAAGAAGGTGTGGAATCATTACAGCATTCCTGTTGCTGAATAATATAGTGCATAAAGGGGCCGTGGAAACTATTTGCATTTCCTATCAGAGTTCTGTGACTATCAGTGAAGGCTGCCCCAAGACAGTACCTAGATTTGACAATACAGTGCTGCTAACCAGCGACCTTTGAGTGATGATGTCTGTATGGGACCTAAGATAGCCCAAGAAGCCCAAATGATGGTCAGAGTTGATGATTTATCTGAATTCACCTACCCAACCAGGTAGATGGAAAAATGTCTGTCCAAGAAAAGACAAAGACTAGGAGACATAATGAGAGCTGAGTTTGCTGTGTAAGGAACTGAGGGTGCTGACTGCCTCCCTAGAGATCTGATGTGGGAGCAGAGGGATGGCTGACCATCAGAGCATTTAAGCAGTTCCTCTACAACCTGTATACGATCAACCTGTATGCTTTTCATAACATTTTGCTTCCCTATTTGCTTGGTGTCCTTTAAAGCTCGATAAACCCTAATACTTTCCTCCTCCCCAACCCTGCCCATCCATAACGAAAGCACTGGAGTGAAAACTTCTCTATTTTTACATACAAATCAAACAAATGCAAATTACATATCTTAAAAAGCACAGGCCGAAGTCTGAAAAGTCCACGTCTCTGCTTGCATCATCCTTCTGCCTTGAGAGATTTTCATTCCAGTGAAGGTTTCTGGCGCTGACAACCTTCCCTCTGAATTCAGGCATCGCTTGAGCAGAGAGGCAGTGAAGGCATTTATGGAGAGCACTCTTTGGCAGCTCAATACATCCGCTTTGGACAGAAACACAGGAAGCTGCCTTGCACTGAATCAGGACACTGGTTCATCTAGCCCAGCATGGCCTACACTGGCTGGCAGTGGTTCTCCAGGGTTCCAGGCAGGGATCTCTCTTCCACTCACAAACCCTGGAAATTCACTGAAGGCCAGAGATGGAATGGTCCACAGCACAAAGGAAAAGGTAACAAGCGTGAGACAGGGCTTAACTTAAGCCCACTTTGTGGGCTTTACAGAAGGTTTGTAGTACTTACCGACAATCCCTGAGGATTTGAGCAGCAAGTGGATAGAGTAGCTGGACAGCAGAGCTACAGCAGTCAAAAGGAATCTAGAAGAAAAAGAGGAAAGCAGTGACACCTAAATTGCATGTCCATCCAGAAAGGCAGACTGGAGTGGAAACTTCAAATCCTTCTATTGCCACATGCTAGACAGCTCCAGAAGCACCTGAGGATTTATCTTCTGAGGGCTTTCTGCAGGAATAACTGAAGCACATCCCAACTACGTTTTAGTAATAGTCCCATAATTCCAAAAGCACTATATCCCATCCACATGGATTAGAGGGTACCTGTGTGTTTGGGAGTGGGCAGGGGAAAGACAGTTTCGTGAAAGGGGATATCCGTGTTGCCATGTTTTGCTTTGTCTTGAAATGGCGAGATGGGGTAGAAGAAGAACGACCACCTCTCCAAATTTAAAGGGACCCTGTAACATCTGAAACTTTTACAAATTTATGTGAGATGTTTATATATTATATATATATATATAGAGAGAGAGAGAGATTCGCAACACAGTGCCAGCATATTCTTGTTGTGATGATTTACTGCATCTTGCCCTTTTATTGTTTCTTTTCTTATATTAAAATGCCGCTTGCTGCTTTGGGGGCCTCTGGGCTGGAAAGCAGTATATCAACACACAATAGTCCTAAGGACAGGGGACTTGTGCCACTTGCTGTTAATCTCATCCCAAGCAATATGCTGTGGGTGTCCATGACACTCGTGCCATCACAGTCCAAAATATCAACTGCAGCTGCAATGAATCGTATTTTCCATAGGAACAAAACATCTCTTTTTTTCAGTGCCTGGAAAGTGCCCTATCTCTGCAACAGGAGCATAGCCTAGGCTGCATACAACAAAGTAAGAAAGAAACACGCATTGGTTTCACAAAAATATCCCATGGAAAAGCCCCACAACAGGTTGCCATCCAGTTTGTGTTGCTTCCTCCCTTAGCGGATGCTAAGCTCACAGAGTGAGGGGTGGAGAGAGGCAACAGACTGAAGGCGCAGCTCCATAAGAGCATTAACCTGCTGGCAACTATCCTCCATTGGCTCCCCTGAAGATGCACAGAGGCTCTTGTCAATCAGCAGCTGCGGCTGTAATGCCATTCCGTTACGTAACGATTCATTTGTAAAAGGTGAGCAATCCTGTCCAGGGGATCAAGTACTGGGCAGGATGCCAGGAGAATTCAGAGCAAGAACTGTTGCATGTATGCACACATGGGCACGTACACACACACACACACACACACACACACACACACACACGAAAAGGGACAGGAGGATCATGCTGGCAAACTCAGCCAGATGGGTGGGGTATAAATAATAAAATTATTATTATTATTCATAATGAAGTGGCAGATCTTGCTGCTCAGAACAGGAGCCTAACCCTACCATGGAGCATCAAAAACATCAAATTATTTCTTGTCAAAGGTACTTAAGAGCAAATCTTAAGACATGGATAGGATGCTAAAGGAAGAGGGGCTCCTTCGGGCATTTGGGTCCCAAGCCGCGTAGGACTTTTAGCTCCTTGGAGGAAGGGTGGGTCATGAGACTGACAAAATCAATCAATAATCACATCCAGGCACTTTGTTTACGGCACAGATGAGGACAAGTTAAACAATCTCTGCCCTGAGCCCAGCTTCGGCTGGGGAGGGCGGGATATAAATAAAATTTATTATTATTATTATTATTATTATTATTATTATTATTATTATTATTATCCCCAGTAATATAGACATTAATTTTTCAGTGTTTAAAAATTTCAGCATCCTGCTTCTCAGATTATATAGATGCCCAGATTGGCTGGAGCAACCCAGTTAGATGGGTGGGGTACAAAGAATAAAACTGTTGTTGTTGTTGTTGGACACCGCCCCCCCCCACTTCAATCTCACCCACTTCAATCTCATGGCACATAGAAGTGATGGGGCGGAGAAGGAATGGGTGAAATTCAGCTAAATTGTGGCATGAATGGAACAAGGTGTGCTTATGCAACAGGAGTTTCCTGTGCTCCATAAATCTGCTCTGGAGGACCAAGGGAACCCCTAGAACAAGAATAGGGCATACACAGAGAGTGGGGTGGGGAGAGATGGGAAGTCCCATTCCATGAGCAGACCCTTGTTCTCCCCACTTAGCGCTACACTAAATTGCACCCATTCCCTGAAAAGAGTGACAGAGAAGAAAATGATGCCAATGTCAATATATATAGCCCCAAAGCCAGCATTTCCTCATCTGAAGCAACAACCTTTTTTATTCAAATTCTGAAAGAGGCAAGAGGCATTGTCACTTCAGTTATTGTGATCTCTTTGTAGTATTTTGGTGTGGGGTTAGTTTATTGTACTATAATACTTTTTTTTTAGGTAACCTGCCCTGGGATTTTACAGAGAAGGGCAGGTAACAGCAGCAAGAGCAGCAGCAGCAGCAGCAACAACAGCAACAGCAACAACAGCACTAATTGTAATAATAGATTGGGCTCATGCCTGACAATTTCCCTCTCTGTTGAAGTAGCTCTTCTTGATGAAAATCTGCAGTGATGCCCGTGGTTGGCTGTGTATTTTTGCCCTTTCAAGGTTTCCAAGTTCATAGTCTGAATCACAGCCACACTGAATAGCTGTCTGTTTTATTTTGGTTAGCTGCGTGTTTTTCTCTCTGCCCACTGTACTTTCTGCATATACGGTATATCCATCATGGTTTCAGTCTACAGTCTCTCTCTCTATATATATATCTCCAAGGTTAGAGAGGCTCCTGGGTGCAAAAATATTGCTAGGTGGTGTTATCCCATAGCAGTAGCTTCTTAGAGTCCTATATCTTTGATTCTTTCCTTCCTCACCTTAAGCATAAATGGTTCGATATGCTTTAAGAACGTTAGGCTCCCAGTTCTTCCATAATGCTACTTGCACTTGCTGCCTGTGTAAGTTTGTGAACCTGCAACCTTGGCATTATCAGCACCACATTCTAACCAACCGAGCTATCCAGGTTGACTTAACATGGGTCCCAGCTTCCATTTCTTGGCTATGCTGGGCTTCCCAGGCAGTGCCCCTCCCAGTTCTCTGGCAGGGCAGGTGTTCACACTGGAACACCAGCGTGACCAAAATGGAGAAGCAATGCATCGTGTCCCTAGAGATAACTTTTCCCCACCTAAAGCAGAATCAAAGAAAATCATTTCATTTCAAATCCTGCCTTGCTGCCCGAAAGCTGGCTAACGAATAAAGTGAGACAGTACAAACTGCAACAAATGGAATAAAACCCGGGAATAGCCCAGCAAAATCAGTCCATAGCATTCTTATAAACAGAACTAAGCAGCAAGAACTAAGCAGTTTATAAAACTGGGTCCTAACCAGCTTCCAAAAACTCAGTAGCGACAACACTTTGGCACTTCCTCAGCAAGTGAATTCTACAATAAAACACCAAGAAGACGCTTTGTCTTGAAGCCACCTCTCTCACCTGAGAAAGTGAGAATAGGGCTCTCTAAGCTTAAGGGCTTAAGAGCACAGGGAGTGGGTGGGTAGATCTACTGTGGGATCTACTGTGGTTCAAGGTTCTGTGGTAGATGCACAAGCATCTCCACATCTACAAAGAACAAAAACCTAGAAAGCACCAAAGACTGGCTCCACAAACTCTCCTTCCATTTGTACAGGAGCAGTGCAATGTGGGTTAGAACTGCGTTCCTTTTTAGTTATATATGAATCTTGAGAGTCATGGGATTCTGCATCTGCTGCTCCATTCATCACCAGACCACTGGATTTTGCACTGTGCTGATCTTCCATTCCACCCTCTACTAGGTTTTTTTTAAAGCTCCTCAGTCTGATTTGTGTATTCACAAGGGCAGGACCGAATTGTGCTCGGTGCCATTTAGAGGGAGTACTTTCACTGAAGTGATCGGCCTTGTGCTTCAGAAGCTGCCTAGGGCTGGCAAACTGAGCTCCCTATCCTGTATGAGCTGTTTGGCCGTAAGGGCAAAGCCTGGGCTTGCGCAGCCTTCCCAAGGCCTGGGGAGCTCAGCTACCCTGTGGAGAGTTTCTGTTTCGTTGCCTGACTACGTACGGCAGGGTTCAGCCAGGGACAGTGCTAAGGCATCCAGTCTGCCTCTCCTCAGCCTGTCAAGCCACAGTTTCTTTAGCCAGGGCACAGGATGTCTCCTTCCAAACAAAAATGAAGATGGCACTGTTTCTGAGGCCTCCTGTGGATAATAGCCACATTCATATTCTCCCTACCTGAGGCATTGTTCTTAATATTGGTATATTGGTTCCTTAAACTTGCTGGAAAGCCCTTATTTCAGCACATTCCTTGAAGTAATCTACCTAGGAACAGACTGATGGTTTAGACTGGAACGTGGGGTGGGGCGGGGAGGGAGGCTGTGACCAAAATGTGGATGCATATACTGACACGGCTGGGAATTAACATGAACAAGACCTTTCCTGTAGCCACCAAGCAGGGACGCAGGTTCATTATGGTAAATGGAGCACCAACCTTAGTCTGCCCTCAGCCAGCCACCACCCTGCCTCCTTATACTTAGAGCAAGGGGTGGTCCTGGCTCTCTGCTTCCTCCTCCTTAGTCTCAGAGTTGCCTTTGTAGAATTCAGCAGGGAGGATGGGGACAACACCAGAATTACTTGGCTCCCCCTGCTGTTGGCCTCCCTGCCTTCCACCCTACCAGTCCCAATGGGCCAACACTGCCATTAAATGAAACTGGCGGACATTAGAAGGTCTTTGCAATGACAGGGAAAACATGTTCACAAGGTCACTGCCTTTACATAATGTTAAGATCAGAAGGGCATGTAGGGAGACATTTTTTTTCTGTGAATGTTCCACCGTTGTGGAACTCTTCTCTCCTGGAGAGTCACCAAGTCTCATTCCAAGTCTGAGCATCTTTTGTGAGAGTTTTATAGCCTTCCTGCTTGAACTGGCTGCTTGAGGTTAAGCCACTTTGTTTTCTTTTAAGGGGGAAAAAAGATATATATATATTTTTTTAAATAGAAACCAAATATTACAACTTGGGCTAAAATGTATATACTAAAGGGGAAATTATTCTGGGTAGGAGGATGGAGACATGGGAAGGAAATGAAGTTGTGAAGCAAAAATTAAAATTAAAAAATGATGCGTTGGGCAGAATAGTGGTAACTGGGTTAGCTAAGGACATAAATAAGAGCCCTTCTGAATCAGAGGAAGGGTTCATCCCATTTAGCTCCCTGTTTCTAAGATTAACCAGCCAGATATCTGTGGAAGCAGGGCATGAAAGCAGAAGCCTTTCCTTGTTTATTGTCCCCAGCACCTGGCAATCAGATGTATACTTCCACTGAACATGGGGGTTCATATAGCCAGGAAGCTACATGGCTAAGAGCTGTCGATAGAATGTATCCCCCACAAGTTTCTCTAATTCTTTTTAAATACATCTTTAAAGATATGCAAGTTAGTGGCCATCACCAAACCTTGGAGCACTGATATATAAAATTGCACTGTGTGGAGATGTAATGTTTGCAGCATTATTACGAGGCTTTCTGAACCTGGAAGAGCATCATGCTGAGTCAACCTGGCTGTAACTTTTGAGGGGAGGGTTTTGAGTTGTGATACTATGTTTGGAGCTCAGACTTCACTTTTGCTTTGTGGTCTTGGGCCCTTCACCTGTCTCCACATTGCCCATCATGCAAATGCCTCTGGGAATCTGAGAAGAAGGGATCAAGCCATGTTGCTTGATCCCAGCAGCTGTTACTCAGAAGTATGCTTTTTCTAGACAGGGAAGCTCCATTAGATATCATGTTTGACAGGGTGTGTGTGTGTCCATGGACAGTGCAGGTAAAACACATTCTGGGTGGGCAGAGGTGAGGCAAGGTGTGGCAAGACTAAACTTGCGCATAGTACCACCACCACAATTTGGGCATAGCAGTACCACCACGGTTGCTATTACCTGGCAGCACAGGAAAGAATCAAACTGAAACAATCTGTGTTATTAATTAGTTGCCACTGTGCAGAGTCTGGCCATCTGGGCCTCACCCATCCCAAGGGTGTGTTTCTGGACAGGGAGAGATAAAGCCAGGCACACCGCAGGCAGCGACAAGGAAAGATATTGGCAGCAGCGACAGAGGTGGGTTATCAAGGAAAGAAAAGTAGAGTGAGCTTCAGACATCTCACTCCTTGCCTTTATAGCTGAGGCAGCTCTCTAAGACCCTTCAACTTTTGGCACTAATTGGTAGGCAATTTGGTACACAGGACAGGGCTGATGAGCGCTGCTGCTGAGAAGGCCGGCATGCTGCTGTCAGTGGACTGCTCAGGGATGGGCTGACACTGGGGGGGGGGGCCGTCACATCAATGATATGACACAAGGGAATTACTCTTTGATGTCTCTCCTTCTGAGGTGCCATGAGGGGACAAAGACTGTGGCAGAAGGACTCTGAGTGAGAGGCAGGGAAATGTAGATCTCCCAGCGTAGGAGAATGGGAAAGAAAACCTCCTGGGTGAGAGCTATGTGCATTTCCTGTGGAGTGGAAATTAAGAGCTAGTTGTGTACAGACAAAATTACTGTATAAGACTAATGTCTTTTGCTTTAAAAAACTAGGCAAAAATTTGGGGGTCATCTTATACATGGATAGTGAATGCAGAGGGGGTCGGGCAGGTGAGCGATTGTGGCAGCAACCTTCTCCCCAAAAGCCAAACAACTCAAGAAATATTGATTTATTAATTTCAGGTTTTAAAAAAATAGGGGTTGTCTTATACATGGGGGCATCTTATACACGGAAAAATATGTTATATGCATTTGTACAGTTACCCCACTTTCAATATCTTGCTGATGATTTACCTCTCCCTTATTTTTCAGGAGGCTGTCGTTAGATAACAGACTGTATTTTATAGGAGTTGTGGAATTTATTGTGAAGATGTTATTGTGTATAATTTGGCATTCCTGCTTAGTATGCATTCATGATTTACAATTGTGTATTATTTGTTACTGTGTAACTGTTTTAATTTTTTGTATTGAATGCATATTATGTATTAATATATGTATATTGTTTATTATATTCTATGTTGTAAACTAGGGACGCGGGTGGCGCTGTGGGTAAAAGCCTCAGCGCCTAGGACTTGCCGATCGAAAGGTCGGCGGTTCGAATCCCCACGGCGGGGTGCGCTCCCGTCGTTCGGTCCCAGCGCCTGCCAACCTAGCAGTTCGAAAGCACCTTCGGGTGCAAGTAGATAAATAAGGACCGCTTACCAGCGGGAAGGTAAACGGCGTTCCGTGTGCTGCGCTGGCTCGCCAGATGCAGCTTGTCACGCTGGCCACGTGACCCGGAAGTGTCTTCGGACAGCGCTGGCCCCCGGCCTCTTAAGTGAGATGGGCGCACAACCCCAGAGTCTGTCAAGACTGGCCCGTACGGGCAGGGGTACCTTTACCTATACTTTATGTTGTAAACTGCACTGTGGTCTATTGTCAAAGGGCTGTATATAAACTTTTAAAAGGGATGGATGGATGAATGAATGAATGAATGAATACTGTGAGAAAATCACCTCCGTTTCCTTGGATTCCAGGATTCTATTATAGAGTGCCAGGGCCAGAGATATGACTCGTTTGTGCTTGCTGACTGCCAAGGGTGGTGATGCCCAGATAATTGGCATATTGAGATTGATCACTCTCTATTCCTATTGACTATGGATGGTTCTTCCTCCTCACCCTACCCCAGATATAGCTTAAGGCCTATAAACCAAACTGACAGTGAGTTTCCTCTCAGCCCCTGCTGAAGGCAGCTGCCTCGGCCTGCTGCTTTGTTTGCTTAGTTGTGAGTGGTGGTCATATCCCAGAAAAGGGGAGACAGAGAAAGGGACAAAGTGAAATTGGTAACAAATGAGGGGGAAGTCAACACCTGCAGAAGGCTGCAGTGCCTTCAAATGTTTAGTTGACATAGCAAGAGGCCCCATGGGTGGTCAGGAGCTGGAACATTATATTTTCAAGCCCAAGATAGCAATACCACATGTACCAACTTCAAGTGAGCGCCAGAGGAAAAGTGCTCAGCTAGGCTGTGCTGTCATGTGCCGCCTTCTGGCAGGAGAAGGGCCTTCCTTTTTCTCTAAGGACCCTGACAAGAAGGGCTGCCCAGTGCCACAGAGGGCTGAGTGAGCCACCTAAAAGGGCCTTTCATGTATTTCTGCCTGCTGTTCCTTACACTTCACAGGCACTTCCTTTCTCCCGCTGGAGGGCATGTTAATGTGCCTAAAATGACTGCGGCCAACAAAATCTTTGTTTCACACCAACAGCTTTCTAGGTGATGTGCAAAAGAGAAAAGCCCACTGTTCCCACTACCAGTGGAGTCTCACTTTGCTTATATTCCTTCCTCCTGCCCCAATGGGACTGCTTCGCTTGGCTCTCCATTCCGAAGAGGTGCATTCTGGGTAGTTTTCCAGGCCTTAGCCCCTCCTGGTTCTAAAAGCCAGAGGAAGGAGGAAGGAAGGGGCATGGGAACCATTTCAGTAGCCCACGTTGTGGAACTCAACTGCCTCAGCACTTCTCAAATCATCAATAGGCTATAGTCATGTTTGCCCCTAGGCAGGAGGCCCCAACCTGCCCCAACCCACCTGCCACTACCCACATAGTATAAGCCTAACAAGCCTCCTTTGTCTCTTCCGTCCCAAAGCCCAACTGTTTTCTGATTCAGGAACCACTCTTGCCAATGACCTTAGCTCCAAACAGAGGAGGAACACTCAACTTTTCTATTCAGAGGATGTAAGTCCCCGCACCACCTCAATGAGGGGAAACATCCAATTGCACCCCAGTCCTCAGCACAGCGGTTTCTAATCATGCTGGGAAGCATGCTACCTCATGCTACCGCATCTCCAGGAAAATATAAATTAATGTTCTCCAGTTTAACTATAGCAAAGCCATTAAGCTGCACTAGAAACACTGGGCATTTCTTCTTTTCTTTTTTGCAGTTCCCAAAATATCAAGATTTTCACACTTTTGTAGTATGCAAATCCCTGAAACATCAATTTAGAAAGAAAGTTATGTGATATATCTTTTTTTTAAAAAGTCATGTTTATGTGATAGAATTTTAGTCTCAAAAATGGAGCAGAAAGGGCGAAGCGGAGTGTTAATGAGTCATATGTGAGTGCTGCTTGAAGCAATCCATATGTAGTGCTTCTCCACATTTATTTTATTACATTTGTATCTTGCCTTTTCTTCCATTATGGATCCCAAAGTGGTGTACACAGGTTTCCCTGGAAGTCTCTCATCCAGGCACTGACCAGACCCCAAACTGCTTAGCTTCAGAAAGGTGGTGGCCTCATGTGCCTTTGGACCATCCCCTGAGACATGGTGGGTAAAGCATACAAAGCCATGGCAAGGAAAGACTCCCTGCTGCTACCACACTCTGCAGAGCCAGCTCAAGCAGAAGAATGGGGAAGAGGAGGCAAAACGACAGGAAAGGGATGGCTGGCAAAATCTTTATCTAAAGGAGGCCTTCCTAGCACTGAAGGGACATCACAGCAGTAAAACTAATACCAGTTTGATGAAGCAATTTAAATGCTAAATTCAAAATGATCCAAAAGGACAGCATTTAGAGCAGGATAAGAGCAGACTGCCCAAGCTACTAGTGAGATATAAGGGGATGGTATGCATATATTTGTAGCTCTTCTGGAAATGGCACTTACAGAAATAGGAGGATACCAGTGTTGGCCATGGCATATGCCAGACCAAGGATCCCGCTGCCCATGATGGCATTGCTGAGGTTGAAGACGGACATCCCGAAAGAGGTCTTTCCTTCAAACTGTAGGGAAAGTAAAAGAGGCAGAGAGAAAGTCAGAAAGAGTTTGCTGGGAAGGAGTTGGGGATGCTGTCTTAGCTCCTCTTCCCCAGCCCTCTTTGGCCTATTCCTCCCCATATGTTCCTTACATTAAGTTTGGGAGGGGAAATGCTGAGAAGGGTGCTCTGGAATCCTGCTCCCCCTAGAATGATGTCTTAGTGCAGTTCCCAGAATTCAGGCCTGCAACTAGTTTTCCTCTCCATCTTTCCTGCAGGCAAGTTCTCTTGCCTTCCATTCTACCCACCCACCCCCCAACTAAATGATGAAGACTACGGAGCCACATGGCTCTCCAAGGAGGTTGGATTTAGCCCAAAGGCTGGTGATCCCTATACTGGTAGGTAGCAATTGATGGTGGATGGCTTTCTGGAATGGATTTGCATGGCTGCTATCTAACCCATTTGCAGAATATATACCGGCCTCACATGCCCCACTGTTTTGACACCTTAGCTCCCAACCAAAAGAATTTAAGAGACCTGAGCCACTATACTGTACTTACATCTGTGAAATGAGTGTGTTTCTTTTCAGCACCGTGTGGAAGGAACTCCTCCATCTCTGGCTGGTTGTCATCAAATCTGGATGGTGGGAAAGGACAATGCTTGTTAAAGTGATTACCCTCCTCTTGAAAATTTCCCTACTAAGAGCTTGGGCACATGAGATGGGGACTCATGATTGTGTTGGTCTGCAGAGTGTCCTCTTATATGCCCGTTGTCTGCTTGCTTAGCCAAACCGGGCAGATATTAGAATCTTCAAGAGTCTTCCCTTGCAGTCAGACAATGTATAGCCTCTGCCGATTCATATGTTACAAAGAAAAAGAGCTTGGCATCACTAGCATACTGATCACACTGTGCCCCAAATCTCCTTATACATGCAGGTCCTGCTTACCCAACACAATGTGTTCCCAGGAAATCATTCGTTAGGTGAGCCTTCACATAACAAGCTGATGATTTCCATTACTTCCTCTAGGAACATTTCTAATTCGTGATTTGTCCCATGTCTCTCCCCTTCCCTCTATGGTTTCTTCCTAAAATGACTGCAGCCTGCCAAGTAAGGAAATAGGAAAACTCTGGCTGTTCATATATCTGAATCCACAGTGTGTACTAAAGGTTTGGGTACTAATTCCTTGTGTTTGGATAAGTGATTTTTCGCCTAGTGAGCGTTTGGAAAGCAGGGCCAACGTGTATGTTGAATAACACCGGAGATAAAGTAGCAGCATCCTACATTCCAACCACCAGGGTGGCAAGACACAATTACTCAACGCTACTCCTTGATACCAACTCTATGAGAAGGTGTGGATCTGTTGTAAAACAGTACCCTCAGCTCACAGAGGTGACACAGAAGCCACCAAGAGAGCAAGCAGGAGCGACAGGGTCCTAAGCCCCCTTGTCCCTCTCCAATTGACTGTACTGCAATATCCCATATACACTGCGAAAACAGCTGCAAATGTGATTGGATAAATAAAACTCTAGTGAAGAATTATGTGCTGCAAAGTTTCTCTTCCCTACCCTACCCTACCCTACCCTACTTTTAAAAATTTGTTTAGGTCTGGACTGCTAACAGTTCAGCAGAAACTCTTAACAAATAACCGGAGCTTTCTTGACAATTTCACATCCAGTTGTAGCCTTGAAGGAAGATATTCAGTCGGCACAGAACAATGTAAGAAAACGTAAGAAAACGCAATGAAAAAGTATGCATTTATAAACTGATCTGTGGGAAGGCCCAAAGCCTCAGCTGTACCAGGGTCCAAAATCACTGTCTGTCCTTCATGCAACACTTGCGACACTATCATCACCCACTCACCTGCACTCCAGATTATTGTCTAGACCAGGGGTCAGCAAACTTTTTCAGCAGGGCGCCGGTCCACTGTCCCTCAGACCTTGTGGGGGACTGGACTATATGGGGCGGAGGGGGGGGGAATGAACGAATTCCTATGCCCCACAAATAACCCAGAGACGCATTTTAAATAAAAGAATACATTCTACTCATATAAAAAAACGCTGATTCCCGGACCATCCACGGGCCGGATTTACAAGGCGATTAGGCCGAATCTGGCCCCCAGGCCTTAGTTTGCCTACCCATGGTCCAGAGACTGATTACTGAATGGTGGCCAGGAGTCATTGGCAGTGCTTTGTACTCACTGAAAGAGCTCTAATTTCACGGGAAGGAGAGGGGACTTGTATTGAGGAAGACTGCATTATCTTCAGCCCAGCAATCTCACTCTCAAGTCTAATAGACCAAGGTTGCTATGGCTCACCTGTCATTCCCTACGGAGGGGATGGAGGAGGCATTTAAAGACGAGTGTTTCCCATTCGGCACCAGCTCTACCATCTCCGTCTGGATGGGGATAGCCATGGAGTTCATCTTCACCCTCTGAAGTGAGCCCCTTCTCTTCTTCCCTGGCAGTGAGCTTTCAGACAAGTAGCGGGTTATACAGCGTGGAGATGGAATCTGCACAGGGCGGCGGTCTCCTTAGCAGTGCTGTGTCTGCAAAGAAACACCCACCAAATCAGATATTTGACCAGATGAAAAAATGCTGTTAAAGATTTGGCATAGAGGAATTGAACATGTCCAGCATAGGAGAGAAAATCAGGCATTGCTGTATACATTGAAGGATGGCAGGCGTATGTGTAAGATTGCACATGTCTCAGTCACAAGATTATTAATGAAAATTACTCCCTAAAAACCAGCCATTGTCCAAATGTTGTCCACTTGGGATCACTCCAGAACGATCCTGCTAGAAATGGCTGACAACCACTTAAATTTCTTTTCTAACCAGTGAATGAATGCATCTTCTACTGTTGATGCTGGTTTGGGTGTAGCAAGCGGTTGGTGAGAGAGATAACATGTGAGTGAGGAAATCTTCCTTTATGCTTCCGTAGGACACCTTGTAGGATAGCCCAGCTTTGGAGCATCAGAGCCCTGGCTAGCTTCTCACTCTTCCACCTGCTGGTGTATCTCAGTGAGATTCCACTACTCATATCTTTGCACACAGTGTACCAACAAATTCAAGATACACCTGAGAATAATCTTCAGCTTTGGGAGATGCTAATCACAACCATGACATCATTCATTGGGCTCTTTCCACCCATCACAGAGCTTAAGAGAAAGTCTTCAAAAGCCTGAGCACCAAACAGCCCAAGAATGTGTGTGACGTTGCTCTCACAATTCCCCACTGCAATACAATCTGCACTGCATGTACCCTGACACTGTAAGATTGTCAGGACCTCCTGCCCACAAGAAACGTCATTCCTTCCCTGAGGCTGCCTTTCACTGCATTTTCCTTGTAGACTATTTGCTTTCCTGGGCCCAAACACCCTTGGTTCAGGGTAGGCATCAGAGGCCGGCATGATAAGGCATTTGCCAAGGCCCATATTCCACCAGGGGGGCTGCTTTTGATCTCCAGAGACCCCTGGCCCTGCTCCTCATTCTTGTTCTTCCAAGCAAGTGAAGGCTGAGACTAAAGCAAGGAGAAGCAGCACCACTCTCCATCTGCCTGATGAGGCTCAGGCCCAGAGGGAGAGAGCAAGCAGGCGGGTAGTAGAAAGACGGGGGTCCCAGTGATGCCATATTGCCGAAGGACCCCATGGAGCTTGTAGTGTGTACTGCCCTTGTTTGTCTTGCTTCCATCCCCTCCCTTTAGGCATTGCTCCCACCCACTCCCAAAACATCCACTTCCTACTTGCACACTCCTAGCTGCAAGCATCTGCAGTGTTATAATAAATAATAATATTGGTTTGCTTTTATTTTTGTTTTATTACATACTCTGTATTCTCATGTTGTATTTTTCTGTAGTGAACCACTCTGGGATCTTTGGATGAAGGGCGGCATACAAATTTTAATAAATAATAATAATAATGGTGATGATGTTTGCAGTCCTTGCAACCTTTCCAGAGCTTGGTTTGTTCCCAGCCTTACTCTCCCTTGCCGCTTTGACTCCTGCTCCTCCCCTCACTGTGCTTGTCCTTACATGAGACTTATCCCCGCCTGTTTAAATGGCCCCTTCGAAAGTTTCCCATTGAGTTAAATGTAGCTCTAAATGTCACGCTTAGAAAATCTCCTGGCAACTTCATCTCCGATTGCAGCCATACATCTGACTGAGCTCAGGAGCAGAAAAGATACTTGGCTCACTCCCCTTAGTGTTTAATTTTTAAAATTAGTGTTGCAAAAGTCGTGCTCCCTAACCTGGCCAGCCCACTGGGGCGTGTACAGTCTGCTTTTCCTTGAACACTGGTTTAACTACACAACGTTCTCTTAAGATTGATCAAAGGCCTAGTCCTTGGTGATTCTTCATTGAAAATTAATTGCCAGTCTCTTCCTGCAGCACCCCCAGGGTCTTCCATTTTTCTTCCCTCTGTTGCCAAATGAATCCTGTGAAATGCTAGCCTAATTCTTTTCTTTTCAAGACATTGTAAGAGTCAGACACGACTAAAAGACCAAACAACAACAATGTGTTGTGTTTCGCATTCATTTCCCACTCTTATTCCAAGGACCTCAGGTTCTTTCTCACCTCTACCCTTTTGTCACAACAACCCCGCAGGGTACATTTAGTATGAGAAACAGTGAATGGCCCAAAGTCACTCAGTGAGCTTCATGGCTTGGCAGGGATTTGAAACCAGCTCTTCTTATGCTTATCTGTCATAGTTACTTGAAAAGGTTTTTGAAAGAATTGTTGTTGGGCAAAACTGATTTCTGCTTTTTTGGGCATTTAAGAGTGCAGAGAAACCAGTGTCTTGACTCTGGGAATCTTTGTCTGATCTCCTGGTGACAAAGATAAAATATTAAAAATCAGTACCATTTGAGAAAACTCTGCAAGAGGCACAATAAGAGCTCTGGGGGGGGGGGAAACTCTCTCAAGCTGTTAAATAGTTCTATTTCTTGCTCCACAGTCTCTCTCTGTCTCATACACATAATCGTTTAAGGGTGCCAGTACCAGAGAAATGCAGAAACAAAGCATGAATGGGCAAGGGAGATAAGTGTTCTTGGATCACCTTCTGATGATCAAAAACATCCCAAACTCTGGTCTTGTTTGCCAATGGAACAGAAAGCAAAATAAATAATTAAATCTGAGCTTATTTTGTTATTCAACACCGCCGGTTACTCATTTCAGATGTCCTAATTGCAACCTCCTTGTAACATATCAAATAGATGCTAACAATAGTTTAAGCAGCAAAACACCAACCCCATCCTTTCCAACAAACCAAGTTTGTGATTCAATCCATTGTACTTAAGAATCCAGTAGGGTGACAAGCTTGAGTTCCCACGCACATCCCTTCCTTTGACTTTTTCCAGGGCACAAAATCAACTGATAAAGAGATGAGAGAACCAGTGGTTGAAAGTGAAAGAGAGCAAATGCAGCAAAACATGACGGAACACCAGAATAGAGTATCCGTATAATGTTAAGGGGATTCCTGCCAAAGATCTAGCCTGCAATCCGAAACACACACTTACCCGGGAGCAAGTCCCACTGAACTCAGCAGGGCTTAATTCTGAGTAGATGAGTCTAGGATTGCACTGCTAATCTACTTTCGTCACTGTAGAGATCAGACTTGGGAAATGTTTGGCTGCCCATAGGTAACAAATAAGCCAACCTCAACTGTGATTGTTTGTGACTGACATAGACTCCTAAAATGTCCACATACCCACCCCAACGAGGCAAACGGAAACAACTTTTGTGCTTTTTGTTCACCCTAGTTTTAGCAGAAAGGAGAACTGAAATAAGCCCTTTCACATTGCTTTTCAAGAAACAGCCCTTCATTCTCTGTAGGACACCCCATTTTCTGCTCCCAGTTCCTATGCAACAATACTGCCAGGGTTCGAAAAACTCCAAGGCACACCTGCAGTCCCTTTTTACACGACCCCATTACTCAAAGCATTGAGAGTGAGGGTCAGGTGAGGAAGGGGGGGGATTCACACGTCTTTGTGCTGCAGTGTGAGAAGGACAGGAAGCTTCTGCCATGCTCGATCTTGTTGCAACAGTGGTGTCGCATCACCACAAACATATATACATCATACACTTCGTCGTCTGATAGGTGGTTTTTGCGGGCACTGGTTTCAACAACCCTTAGGTATGCCTCTGCTGGCTGGATATACAGACAGACTTTCTTTTTCCAGGTAGTTGGACACACTTTAACTCCTAGCTCCAACATGGGTGACAATGGATTTTGAGCGCAGGTAGGTGTCATGACCCCCACAAAGGACCCCAGCAGACCTTTCATTCCTTTCATCCCTATTTACACATCAACTCTGTGTGGCATTTTCAGGAACTCACACCTTTTCTGGGCTTCTTTCAGCTGCCGCACACTTTCCAAGCAATCATTCTGATACAGATATGAACCTCAGGCATTTGGTGTGCCTTTGGTGAGTTTGAGTGACAGGAAATTGGGACCGGAATTGCAGGGAGGGGTGGGTTGAAAGAACATGACACTACAGTCACAGAAGCTGTCAGATGTTGTGATGGTGCAGCTGCATCTAGGGAGGAGCATAGTAGGATTGCTTAACCTCACCGCATGCCTGGTACAGACAATAAGCCTAGGCGGATCCTGTGTCCAATGGGCATTCAACAGAAACTTCATGCCATCCTCTTGCAATCTGTGTCAATGCTTAATTCACACTCACTGCTAAGAGTTGTGCGCCTCATGAGGGGCCTGTGCAGATTTCATGTTTGGTGCTGCTATTGTAGTTTCCCCATCAATGCCCATTAGCGCTTTCTCCTTATTCACCGTAACCAAGTTACCTCTTAACCTTCCTTTTAGATGCTAAACAGACTTGAGCTCCTGAAATCCCTCCTTGTGAGCAGAGCAAGCCTCAGCCCTTGGGAGTTCACAGTCACAACTGAACCAAAACTGACAAAAGCACTTGGCCTGATGCCCTGGCAGCATCTCCAGCTCCTGTGCCTGAAGCACAAAGGAAGGAGAGAGGGATTCAACATCTAGGAAAGGTGATGGCGGAGGAGACAGGAGGACAAGAAATGTGTTGGCAGAAGCCTGTGGGCTCAACTTATTGCAAAAGGATGCAGAATACTGGCGGCAGCAAGTGAATAAGGAAATGGCAGTGATTAGGAAGGAAATCCTATCTCTACAGGCAATCCAAACACAGGGCACACACACACTTGCCCCAATAATTAGAGGCCCTCCTTAATGATGGAGAAATGGCACGATTAGCTACTTTGCACAAAAATTGAGAAAACCATAACAGAGGGTCCAATGCATTCTTGTGAAGGTTTTTCCCCTAGTACTGCAGGTTCAAACAAGGTGCTGCATTTAGTTTTGCCTTCCTGGAATAACCCAGTACTCATATAAAGGAGAATTGCTGATGCCAGTCCCTGACCCTATCTTTTAAAAGCTGAATGAGAAGTTCACCCAGTGTGAGTTCTCCCTCAGTATGAAGACACAGTTGCTGGTTCAGTTGCTCTGAGATTATTTAGCCTGGCTGAGGAACACAAGAAGAGGCTGTTTTATGCCAAGTCAGGCAAATTGGTCCCTCTA